GGGTCATAAAATCATTTTATATTGCAATAGTCAAGGTATTTGATTCCCTTTCAATTCACCACGCGAGGATGCGAGACACATTTTTCAGTGGTTTAAGGGCTTCTCGGAGGTGAAAATTCAAAAAATAATTTTTTTGGGAAAATATCAATCACAAGAAGCTGAATCTTGTATATTCTAAAATAGTTTCATAAGGGCTTTAATATGACAGAGTTTGGGAGATTTCGATTTTTCCATCTTGCACAGCTATCCCTGGTATTTACAGAAAGTCGCTCTTAAGTTAGTAAGTTGAAAAGTTAATATTGAACCCTGGAATACAGTAGGGTAACCCTGCAATGGACAGGCATCCCATCCAAAGGGGGAGAATAGAAACTGCAAATTGCTTCATGCTATGGGAACCTGGATGAGGTCTAGCTGGGTGAGCCTCTTGACCTGAGTACAGATTCTTTTTTTAAATTACATTTTGAGTTTCCAAAGAGTAACCTGTTAACTTCAGAAGAATTTTCCTCAAATTGGCTTAAATGTTTTAAACCTTACATTGACAATACAATCGTTTGTACAGCTTTCAACCAATTGTCATTAACACTTGTACCTTGAGAACACTGCTGATGAAGAAGTTCTCAACTTAGTTCCTTTTTTCTTTAATTTTTTTCAGACTGAATAATTCATACATACCTGCCAAATATATATTTTCTCACCACAAGCAACCACACAGTACAAACCATCAGGAGAACATGTTATAGCCGTCACTTTACCAGGGCAGATTAATTTGGTGAGAACTGACTCCTTAAATAATACGCAAAAAAGGAATAAATAACAGTACTTGAGAGGGCAGGGGGGGGGGGGTGCTTCATGATCCCCATACTTGGATCTCAGGTGCAATAAACTGAGATCAGGAAAGAAAGGTCAAACACTATCTCAGAAACCACATCGGGTGGGTTGATCTGGCTCTAAGTAACAAATCAACGGTGGTTTAGTGTGGTCAAAATGTTGTGCACTATCCAACGAAAAAGAAAATAAATATTTTTACCTATGATAGCAATGCAACCATAATCTCCAGGAAATTCATTAAACACCTCGAAAGCATTGTCCTTAAATTCAGCAACAAATAAAGTCGCTAACCTTAGCCATGTTCCACGTGTGGATTATGGGTTTATTTGACTGTGATGCCATAATATAATCTTTACCAAGCAGTGAAACGCATCTCGCTTGGCAACTTCCTCCTTTGTAAGCTTTCAGTTGCATACCTGAGTGAATGTCCCATAAAGATATACAAAAGTTGTCTCCAGATGATTCTGTGGTTAATGCGACTTCGAAGTCCGCCATCTTGAAATTGCTCATTGTGAGCCGACAGTCATCGAAAAATCAGCGGTGCCCTCTCCTCATTCCTCTCCCAGTAACTCGATCGTCCTGGTTGAGGAGGATCTAATTAAAAGATTAAAAATAAGAAGATGGCCTCCGTAGAGCTTTCGCAGGTGTATGTGCCTGTAGCGAATTACTGTGTCCAGATGATGAACTCTCTTAATGAGTTTCGGAAACACAACATCTTGTGCGAAGTGGTGATCGTGGTAAATGGCAAGCAGTTTTTCGCTCATCGGAATGTTTTAGCAGCGAGTAGTCCCTATTTCCGGGCGATGTTTTCTAGTAATATGCGAGAGCATTTGGAAAACAAGCCAGTGATTCTAGAAAACATCACTGCGGAAATAATGGATGAGTTGTTAAATTTCATCTACACCGGAAGCATCAAGATTACTCCTTTCAACGTGAAGGATTTTGTTTCCGCTTCAAATTATCTCATGATGACGAACTTGAAGGAGACTTGTATATCATTTATGAAAGCCATGCTAAATCCCGCCAATTGCTTGGGTATCGAAGCTACTGCGTTTAAATTCGATTGCAGTGCTCTCAGAAGCACAGCTAGTCAATATGTCTACGATAATTTCGTTGCTGTTTCGCAAACGGATGAATTTAAATTGCTCTCGGCTGACCGTTTAGCGGAGTATCTCAGCAGTGATGACATTCGAGTCGAGCGCGAAGAACAAGTTTTCGAATGTCTAATGCAGTGGATAAACCACGATATAGAAACGCGTAGAGGCTTTTTTAAACAACTTTCTCAACATGTACGTTTTCCGCTTATTTCCCCTTACTACTTAGCGGATCATGTGGAAACTGAAGAGATCGTACTTTCATCTCCTGAATGCACATCGTTGCTTCTAGAAGCAAAGAACTACCACATGCTTCCTGATCGGAGACATCTGATCAAAAGTTCTAGAACAAAACCTAGAAGATCTATGGGTGTAATTTCAGTTATATTTGCTGCTGGAGGAATTCAAGGATCGACTGTTATGAGAGACACTTTTGGGTTTTTCCCTGCAGCCAACAGATGGAGTCCGTTAGCGCACATGATCATAGCGCGATGTAGACACGGACTGGCCGTCACTGGTGACATGGTGTATGCAGTTGGTGGCCAGTCACGGGAAGGTGTGTGTGTTGTATCCATGTAATTACAACAAATTCATGAAACAGGGTAACATAACTTCGCTTATTTCTACCCTCTGGCAAGAGTTCCATATAACCCCAGACATTAATTAAGCATAGACTGTTGCAAAGAAACCTTTATATTTAGTCTTTATGAAATGAATCCATAATTAATGTATGGGGTTATATGGAACTCTTTCCCTACCCTCTAGTTGCACTTGCGGATATCAACTTGATGACGTAAAACCTTATCATATAACATTATGTGTTGAGTATAGAGTGTTAATTGATGAGTATATTTATGAGTGAGATGTCAGTTTGTAATCAAGCCAATGAATTTGTGCAAAAATGAGAAAAAAATGATGCGTGAAATGCACTTGAAATGTGTAAATGTAATTACTAAATAATTACGGAATTCTGTAAGATATTTGGAGTTAGATCGTGTTGTGAGTTTTCTTTTTAACAGTCATCAGTAAATTGTCTTTTTAACTTAACAGGGAGTACAGCAGTATGCATCAAGGTCTTGTGAAATGCAGCAAGATTTCTATATGGCCCCATACTTCTTTATGCGGAAAGTTCTTGGATGAGGAAAACAATTATAGCAAAAACTATAGATTGCCTTTTTGGACCAAGACTTTGTTTTAGAATAGTATGGGGTTATACAGAATCTTTCTGCAACATGGCTTAGTTTTTGAGTGTTGAACTAATCATGAGATGGTTCTGTGTTGAAATCTTCATCCCCACTCCCTCATTCAGTGGATTTGTTCTCTGTTGCCCTGGGTTCAGCTTAAAAGGTGTGCTCCTCTGTAAATAGCCAGCTGATCTTCTTTCTACCATTTGGAATTTTTCACCCATATTATTTTAAATTGTAACATGTGTTTCTTGTTAATGTTCAAATGTTCCAGGAACCATATTTTGTTAAACCCTTGGTGTATCATGAAAGTGTTATAACTAAAGCCATCTTTTCTGCCAACAGGTGCTGCTCAGAGTTCTCTGAACTCAGTGGAAAGATATGATCCTAGAACAAACACATGGACAATGGTTGCACCCATGAATATGAGGCGCAGTCTCCTCAATGTTGCTGTACTTGATGGTAAGAGGGGTTTTTTTTTATATCATCCAACAAGCATCAGTTCACAGGTGTTCTCTCTCTATGTTAACCCTTTACAGCCTTGATCTGTGTGCATATTCTCGATATTGTTCTCCAAATATTTCCTATAGAGCTGACAAGGAGAATTTGTGTATCAATCAAGAGCTTCTTTAGTTGGTGATCATTTCTTTTATTCTCCTGACCTTAATGTGTAATTCAGGGGTGATATTGTAAGGAGAAATTAAATGCTAGTGACTCTTAGGGGTCGAAGAGGGGTTGGCTGTCACTTTAAGGACCTAACATTATTTACAGG